CTGTGTCACTTCCAGAAACTCTATATTCTTGGCGGCGAGGTGGCTGAGTCTGTGCAGAAATGCACACATCTCATTGCCAGCAAAGTGACGCGCACCGTGAAGTTCTTGACGGCCATTTCTGTGGTCAAGCACATAGTGACTCCAGAGTGGTTAGAAGAATGTTTCAAATGTCAGAAATTCATTGGTGAGTATTACACTCTTAATTTTCATACCAACCAAATTTTCGGTTTTTTTCCCCTCCTATCGCCATCTTTATCCCAACAAACATCTTGTTTATTATTTAAGTATATGATGATCATCCACTGAAATTGGTTTAAAAAATTTTTGTGCCTTAGCTATCCACTTAATACCTTTGTACTTTTTACTTTAGAAATATAGAGGTTTAGGTATTTTGACTAATTGTAGGAGAGATAACTAAGCTAGTAATTTGCCTTGTTTTGTTGTTTTTTAATTTCTTTTGTTTGGAAATAAATGGATGCCAAATGACATTGCACATACCATAAAGTACAATTTTCTCTTTACTTAGCGAGAGAACAGTTTTACTGAAATGGTGGGGTCCAGATTGAAATAGAAGTTTCATGCAGAAGGAAAAAGATGCTGCCTCCTCTCACCTGTGTGGTTGTTCAAAGCACCAGGAACGGTCTCTGGTTATTAGCACGCAGAGCTGAGGACCTTCATTGTAGTCACGTTTCAGGATGGTATTGGAACACATTCTGCTTTCTGCTGTAGTACCACTTACGTACTACAAATAAAGACTATGAGGGGATTTTTTTCAGGTTAATAAATAGACCAAATGGTTTTAAAGCCTTGCTAAGTATAAAATGAGTATAAAATCCAAATATAGCAAAACAATGTGCACCTTTAGTATCATAAAAAACAGTAGTAATATCCTTTATATACAGAGCTGGTATATTGCTGACCCACCATCTAGAACTGGAATCCTGCTTTCGAAAAGTGCATCCTTACTCTTCATCAGGCCATGTGCTTGGGTGACAGCAGGTACTGGAGGCTACTCTGCTCTCTGTTGGTTTTTGGTTGCAGTTTGCACTGCAGTCAAAGAAAACATTCTAACTGCCCCTCATGTGATACTAATTATCAACCTCTGACTTAGAGTCTCCACACACAGTCATATTTTCCTGCTAGTAGTTGGTCTGCATTGCCTTGTAATACTCATGCTTTCTCAGCTTTGCCCCCTAGCTCCTTTTCCCTTCAGCAGTGGACTGCATGGCAATACTAATACTGAAGGACATGGCAAGATGGGTGACATTGGAATTAGCAAAGCCAGCAGGGCCCTTGCTGGTCCTCACTGCCACCATTCTCTTTCGATGGATTAAACTAACCTCACTTTTCATTTACTGCCATGCTTATTAGAATCCATTTCAGATCTGTCATTTTCTCAGCAGCCGATAGTTAACCAGAGTTCACTTTTAGTTGATGTAAGTAAAATAAAAGGTGTATGACATAGCAGCTATATGATTGGGTTTTACAAATGAGAAATTAAGATCCAGAAAAAACAGAGAAGTCTAAAGTTGCTCTTTGTGGCAAAACTAGACCCAAACTTAAAATTGCTTCATTTTTAATCCAAAGCAGTAAACCAGAAAAAAGATAAATCATCAATATAGTAGATAAATTAAATTCCCAACTGCAGAATATTAAATAGCATTTAGAAATGTTTTCCATTTAAATTTCAGAACTGGTTTGTCCTTAAATAAAAATACATTAATGAAATGAAGACATAATGAAGGCAGAATAAGGCGCTGGGGAAGCAATTACTACAAACCTTTGTTTCCGTTCCAGTTTTGGATAATAGAGTTAGAAGATGTAGAACGAGCCATCTCGTTCTCTTGCCGACATAGGAAATCGCTTCGGATCTGCTGTGGGCGTGACATCCCCTGCGCGTGGGCGCTGGGAAACGGCCTGGTAGTTTTCTAGCTGCCTTTGGCTGCGTTTGCTCGTAGGAAGCAGCCCAGCACCAAGGCTCTTCATCACCATTTTCTGACTGCTATTCTTTCGCTTTCCTAACCAGAAGTATGCCAACTTTTTTGAAAATAAGCGAATGACCAATTTGCTGAATTTATCAAGCTTCCTAGTTTGTGAAAACTTGATTCTTTTGTTTATAAACTTTACGATAATTTACCTCATTGGAAGTTTTAGCTGATA